GTGAACCCCCATGCATTTGTGGAGAATGCTCTACCCACTGTGTACCTCCCAGCCAAGGTGGACAAGGGACTCCTTGTGAGTTGTTAATAGTCAGCAGTGGTCAGAGGCTTTTCCTCTGCCTCTCCAGATTTTTTTTTTATTTTATATATATTTATTTATATAGCCGGGCATGGTTGTACACACTTTTTTTTTTTAAAGATTTATCTGTCTGTCTGTCTATCTATTTAATATATATATATATATAGTGTTCTGCCTGCATATGTCCTTGCAAGCCAGAAGAGGGCACCAGATATCGTTACAGATGGTTGTAAGCCACCATGTGGTTGCTGGGAATTGAACTCGGGACCTCTGGGAGAGCAGTCAGTGCTCTTAACCACTGAGCCATCTCTCCAGCCCCCGGTTGTACACACTTTTAATCCCAGCCCTCAGGAGGCAGAGGCCATCCTGGTCTACATACTGAGTTCCAGGACAGCCAGGACTATACAGTGAGACCTGATCTCACAAAAAATTAATTTATTGTGTGTGTGCATGTACTGCAGCATACATGTGGAAATCAGAGGGTAACTTTGGGGAGTTGGGTCCCCCCTTCTACTGTGTTGAGGTAGGATGTCTCTTGATGTTTCTCCCCTGCTGCAATACTCCAGGCTAGTTGACCCAGAAGCTTCTAGATGGTTCTCCTGTCTCTGCCTCCCATCCCTGTAGCAGTGGTTACAGATACGCCCCCTGCATCTTTTCCACATTGGTAGTTGAATTCGGGTTGTCATCCCTGTAGCAGTGATTACAGATACGCCCCCTGCATCTTTTCCTCATTGGTAGTTGAATTCGGGTTGTCACCCCTGTACCACGAGCACTCTTACCCACTAGGTCATCCTGTTGTCACTGGATGTTTCTTTGTTCCTTTTGCTAGAAAGCTAGATGAGCCCTCCATTTTTTTCCAGTTCCCCAGTCCCTGAGTTCTCATCCCATCGTGGAATGAACAGTACCTTGTCTATCGGGTTAGACTCTTCATGAGATAATCACTTCTGTGCTTTCATTACGTTTTCCTTTGTGCCTAATGTGCCTGGCATAGGTAGATTTTTTTTTAAAGAGCTCGTTGGATGAATGACTGAGATGAAAGGTGAGAGGAATGGATATGTTCTTTCTTGGGTACTGGCTGAGATGAGAACTTTCATTCTTTAAATTTTTTTTTTAAAGTTCCATTTATTTTTATTTTTGTATGCATGTGTGCCTGCTTGTCTGTGTGTGTACCATGTGCATGCAGTGCTTACAGAGACCAGAAGAAGATGCCCTAGAACTGGAGTTAGAGGTGGTTGTGCTGGGAACCAAACCCAGATCCTCTGCAAGAGCAGCAAGTCCTTAGCCACAGAGCTTTCTGGAAAAAAACAGGGATTCTTTGTTTGCTTAAACATTCATGCTGCATGTTATGTTTACAGATCTTCATTGTGTATTTCATTGCGGGTGTGAAAAAGCTGGATGCAGACTGGGTTGAGGGCTACTCCATGGAACACTTGTCCCGACATTGGCTCTTCAGTCCCTTCAAGTGAGTAGAGTCGAGGTAGGGCCTTTTTGGGTTCCATGTTCTGAGTGGGTGATTCATCTGTCAGGTCTGTGTAACACATGTCTGACATTTGCCTTATCTCCCTCTTCAGCCAAATGCAGAGTCAATGACAGTCAGGGTCCAGCTGCATCTGGGAGACTCTGCTATAGATGGTCAAGAAGAGAAAGGATCAGAATTGGGAGACGTAGTATCCCACTTTGCTTTCGGTTGCTGTGATAAGACCATGACCAAAAACAACTTGGGGAGGAAAGGGTTTATTTCCCTCCCACATCTAGTCCATCCTAATCATCAGCCATCACTGAGGGAAGCCAAAGCAGGAACTTAGCAGAGCAGGAACCTGGAGGCAGGGACTTAGCAGAGACCGTGGAGGAGTGCTGCTTACTGGCTTGTTTCTCATGGCTTAGTTTATGTGTCTGTTTTGCGTGTAAGTGTAACACATGGATGCCTAGTGTTGATGGAATCTAGAAGAGGGCATCAGATCCTCCGGGACTGGAGTTACAGATTTGAGCCACCATGTGGGTGCTGGGGCTCAAGCCTGGGTCCTCTAGAAGAGCAGCCAGTATTAACTGTTCACTCATCTCTCCATGCCTGTCAGCTTGCTTTCCTATACCAGGACCACCTGCTCAGAGGTGCCACTGTCCATAGTTGACTGGGTCTTCCTGCGTCAGTCAATCAAGAAAATGCCCTGAAAGACTTTCCTCTAGGCAATCTGATGGAGGCAGTCCCTCAGTTAGGTCTCCTCTTCCCAGATGACTCCAGCCTGTGCGATGTGACAGTGAACTAGGCAGCACACTTGGTCACTGAGCCAGTACCCGGCAGTTACCTTGGGTGGCAGTTGGAGTTGCTTGTGTTCTTGCCTTGTCAACCCCCATTGTTTGAAATTTTTATTACATTTTGACAGTACTGGGGATTGAACTTAGGGTCTCATACATGTAAGGCAAGCATCCCGGCCCTGAACCCACTCTTTATTGTGTTTTATTTTTTTAATCTTTTGGAAACAGGGTCTCACTATGTAGGCTTGGCTGGTCTGGACCTTACTATGTAGACCAGGCTGGCCTTGAGATCAGAGCTCCTTTGCCTCCTGAGCGCTGGGATTAAAGGCGGTATAACTACAGTCTTCTGTAGGAGCTCCTCAGACAGTTTAGTAGACAGACAGTGCTGCTCCTGCATGGAGAGCAGTTGTTACCAACTCTAAAACAGCTCCGTCTGTGAGTTTCCCTTCCCTCCCGACCCCAGGCTTAGTAGCAAACACCTTTGTCCACTGAACCATCTCACCGGCCCAAAGCAGTCAGCGTTTAAAACAAGTTTGTTCTTTGTCTTTTGAGAAAAGATATCCCGGGCTGGCCTCCAGCTCCCTGAGGATGAACTTGAACTTCCTGATCTTCCTGCTTCTGCCTCCCAAGGGTTAGGATTACAGGTGTGCACTGCCACATCCAGTTTTATGAAGTTCTAGGGACCAGCCCTGGCACTCACCTTTTTTTTTCCCCTCCCAATTTAACTTTTTTTTTTATTGATTCTTTGTGGATTTCACATCATGCATCTTGATCCCACTCATCTCCCTGTCCCTTCCCATCCACCCTCTACCCTTGCAACCTCCCTCCCAGGATAAGACAAAATAAAATTTAAAAGAAAAGAGGAAAAGAAAGAAAAGAAAAATCATTGTGGACGCTGAAGCGTGACACAGTGAAGTCACACACTATACCCTTTGGTCCATCTGTCATTACTTGCGAGTGTTCATTGCAATGAGTCACTGGTAGTTTGAGGCGTCTGGTTTATGCTACACCATCGATACTGGGCTCTCACTGGGACTCCTCTTGGAGATCCTGTTGTTGTCCTGTGTCATGGAGATCCTGCCTCTTTGGGCCTTCAAGGTCAGCCCCTTCATGCCCAGCGCTCACCTTCCAATGCTTCTCATTTATGACTTCCGTGAGGAACTGGCTCCCTGCAGTATACTTTTCCATCACATTTTATCCTGGGAGATTGGGCTTTACTCATCACACAGGGGATATTAAAACAAAAAAGGACATCTGAAAATGTCAAGGGGTTGATAAGCTCCAATGTAGAACATTTTTATGGGTGCACTTGGGGCTGAGCTGTCGTACCCCACTGGTGGGCAGATCCTTCATCAGGGACAAGTTGTTAAGGCAGCTGGTACTTCAGTTGTGCTGTGATTGCTGGGTGACCCAGCTGGCTGGGCCTGGGCTTTTGTCCCTGTGTCTGCAGGCTGGTGTTGTCCGAGGAGCTAACAAGCCTGCTGGTGGTGCACTGGTGTGGCCTTCTCCTTGACCTCTCAGCTGGCTTCCTGCTCTTTTTTGATGCCTCGAGATCCATTGGCCTCTTCTTCGTGTCCTACTTCCACTGCATGAATTCGCAGCTCTTCAGCATCGGTCAGTACCTGCTGCTTGGTGGGAAGCAGTGACTGCAGAGCTGTGGGGAACGCCTGGAGAGAGGCATTGGCTGCAGGCGGGAGGTGGTGGTGGGTCAGGAGCTAAGCTGAACCCAGTACAGTCACTGTGAAGTAGGAATACGTAAGGGTGAGAGGATTGGGACCTCAGGGACAAGTTGCACAGTGAAGGTCTGCAGGGCGAACAAGTTAAGCACTTCCTTCAGGGCCAGGCACGCAGCTCAGCTGCTCCAGTGCTTCCCTAGTGTGCAGAGTCCTGGGGTCCATCCCCAGCACCACACACAACCAGGTGTGATGGCATTCACCTCTTGTCCCAGCACTCGGGAAATAGAGTGAGAAAGATTAGGTCAAGGTAATCCTTAGCCACATAATGAGTTCTAGGCCAGCATAGGCTACATGAGACTCTGTCTCAAGAAAACGAAGACGGAGCTCATTAAAGTAAAATATGTTAGAGGTACTTCATGAGGGAAGCTGGTAGGGGGAGCCTGACCATATTGACATGTCTCTCTGCTTTCCTAGGTATGTTTCCCTATGTCATGTTGGCCAGCAGCCCCCTCTTCTGCTCAACCGAATGGCCTCGGAAGCTGGTAGCCCGGTGCCCCAAAAGGCTGCAAAAGCTGCTGCCCACCAAAGATGCTCCTCAGCCTAGTGCTTCCTGTGTGTATAAGAGGGCCCGCGCCAGAGCTGGTCCAAAGGTGGGGCTGCGCCACCAGCTGGGAGCTGTCTTCACCCTGCTCTACCTTCTGGAGCAGCTCTTCCTGCCGTATTCCCATTTCCTCACCCAGGTTTGTTCCTTAATACATGCCACAGAGGCTGAGCTTGGACTGCAGTGGATGCGGCAGCATTAGGGAAGGAAGGGCTTGGCTTACAGCTCTTCCCTTTTGGAGGATGAGGTTGGGTTGAGAGGCACTAAGCTGATGCTCTCTGCTCTGCCTGCCTTCCCAGGGTTACAACAACTGGACAAATGGGCTGTACGGCTATTCCTGGGACATGATGGTACACTCCCGCTCCCACCAGCATGTAAAGATCACCTACCGTGATGGCCTCACTGGCGAGCTTGGCTACCTTAACCCTGGGGTGAGACATCTGATGCTGCACTTCTTCAGAGCTCCTTGGGCTTTGGCATTTTATTTGGTCCTATAAATACCATCAAGTAAAACAAATTTGGGTCTCTGAACTTTCTCCCAAACCAGACAGAACCTTTTCTTCTTTTTTCTTCCTTTCTTTTTTTTGGTGCTAGACCCAGGGCCTGACACATGTTAAGTGTATACTCTACCATTGAGCTATAGCCTCATCCCTGGATCTTTTGTAGTTTAAAAAAATGTATTGTGTATGTGTATGTGTACGTGTGTACGTACATGAGAGACAGATAGACATGTGCATGTGGAGACAACTTTGTGGAGTCAGTTATTTCTACCGCTTTGTGAGTTGTGGTAATTTAAGTCATCAAGGTTTCGTGGCAAATGTTTTTAACATGGTGAACCATCTCTCCAGACCATATTTTTAATTAATTAAGCCAGAGTCTTTCTGTGTAGCCCAGGCTGGTCCCTTTTCAGCTATAATGTCTAGTGCTGGGCTTTTTATTTTTTAACGTGGATAGAGATGTCATTTTTTTGAATTAAGATTATGTTTTGGAATGGTAAGTAAATACCTAGTAATTGAAAAATTCACACCTGAAGACAAGTTCCTTTTTTTCCCCTCCTGCTCAAATTAGGCAGCGGGCAGAGATTTTTGTGTTATTGGCAGTGCATGTCTTGGAGGTTGACAGTGACAAAGCGGGACTAATATGGGGGTTTGGGGCAGGTATTCACACAGAGCCGGCGATGGAAGGATCATGCAGACATGCTGAAGCAATATGCCACTTGCCTGAGCCTCCTGCTTCCCAAGTACAATGTCACTGAGCCCCAGATCTACTTTGATATTTGGGTCTCCATCAATGACCGCTTCCAGCAGAGGTGGGCAAGGGGAGCAGAGACAGGGAAAGATGAAGCACAGCTCTTTTGTCAAGATGAACGCTGATGTCTCCTCATGTTGTCTTGCTGTTTACAAGGCTGTCTCTCTAGTGCATGTCGGGGTTGATCTGGTTGTGGGCATAGCTGGTTATGTCCAGCAGGGGGCACCATCATCCAGGAGGAAGTGAACTGACTGTTCTTTCAGACACTGTTGTTAACACAATGCCTTCTCCTCAGGTGGCCACTAACGCACATTCTTTCCCACCTCTCTGTCACAGACTGGCAATAACATGCTGACAGTAGGCATTGCTCTTTTTGGGAACTCCTATTCCCTCTCCATGGGTCCAGTGAAGAAAGGAACAGAAAGAAGAAGTCTGGTGGGTGGGTGGCCACTGCCTCCTTAGAACATGGTTTCCTTTTTTAAGGCTTTTTGACCCTCGTGTGGACATCGTGCAGGCTGTCTGGTCCCCCTTCCAGCGCACACCTTGGGTGCAGCCACTCTTGATGGACTTGTCTCCCTGGAGGACCAAGTTACAGGACATTAAGAGCAGTCTGGACAACCACACTGAGGTGGTCTTCATTGCAGATTTCCCTGGTATGGAGGAAAGTGAGGGGAGATTCTGCTCTTTCCTTGACTTCCTTGACCAGAGACATTGCATATGATGGGGGAGGGAGGGAGGAAGGGAGGGAGGGGACTCTGGAGGGGACAGTGGTGAAGATTGTTCTGTTGGGGTGGGTGGGGTGGTGAATTCTCTTGCCTCTGGCAGGTCTTCACCTGGAGAATTTTGTGAGTGAAGACCTGGGCAACACTAGCATCCAGCTGCTGCAGGGAGAGGTCACTGTGGAACTGGTAGCAGAAGAGAAAAACCAGACTCTTCAGGAGGGAGAAAAAATGCAGGTATCTGCTGGGGCTAACGGTGACAGTGACTGGGGACTTAGTACTACCAAACAAACACTTGAGAAGTGCTATGAAGTTTAGTTGAGCAGGGTTCATTGTCACAAAGAAATCCTTCCCAGCGCAGTAATGCAGTGGGGGCTCAGAAAGCAGGGGTTCCATCGGAAGCACTTGCCTGTCAACTCTAGGACTTGGGAGGCTGAGGCAGGAAGACTGAGAATTCCAGGCCAGCCTGGACTACATAGTGAGATCAGAACTCAAAACACAACACCGGAAGAAAAAAAAGGAGCCCTGAGGCTGTGAACAACTTTATCCAGATTCTAGAGGCCATTATTTCAACTCCAAGACACAGGAAAAGAGTGCCAGCAGGGTTGGAGTAGGGAGGCCATAGGCTAGCCAGGGAGGTTAGAGTTGGATGTATCTTTTGTTCCCCCATCAGTTGCCTGCTGGAGAGTACCACAAAGTCTATACTGTGTCATCTAGTCCTTCCTGCTACATGTACGTCTATGTCAACACTACAGAGGTCGCCCTGGAGCAAGACCTGGCATATCTGCAGGAATTAAAGGAGAAGGTGGAGAACGGGAGTGGTGAGTGTATGGAGGTGTGACGGAGAGAGCGCCTGGTTTCAGAAGTCGGGGCTCTAGGTTCTAACCAGTCAAGGGAGTGCTGGAGCCTCTAGTTGAGGGAAATGGCTGAGGGAGAGAGTGGTCCATCTCAGGTTCCTTTTTGCTGTCTTCTGGACAGAAACGGGGCCTCTGCCTCCAGAACTTCAACCTCTTTTGGAAGGGGAAGTAAAAGGGGGCCCTGAGCCAACACCTTTGGTCCAGACCTTTCTAAGACGGCAGCGGAAACGTCAAGAAATTGAACGCCGGCGAAATAGCCCTTTGCATGAGCGACTCCTGCGCTTCCTGCTGCGAAAGCTGTATATCTTCCGACGCAGGTGAGTTCACTCACAGCATTTGCCAGTGCCGTCAGATGTTTGCAAGTTGGTCCCTTTCCCTAGTGAGGGTGACAGTAGACTCCTAGGGATCTTTCCCTCCGCACCCACCTCTTCTTATCTGTAACCGTTCCGTGGTTATTCCTGTTCTACCCTAGAATCTTGTCAGGCTTCAGAGGAGTAGGGTCCTTGCATTTAGGGTGTGGAAGGTTAATAAAGTAGATTCTGTGTCCCCAGGGGAATGGGTCCAAGACCAAGTGTTTCCTGAGGGCTTTACTGGAGTTATGTAGAAACATAAATTTGGACTGTTTTAACTCTTTCAGCTTCCTGATGACTCGAATTTCACTCCGAAATCTGCTCTTAGGCCGCCCTTCCCTAGAGCAGCTAGCCCAAGAGGTGACGTACGCAAACCTGCGACCATTTGAACCAGTTGACGAGTCAAGTGCTCCCAACCCCGACTCTTCAAACCCGACCCCTGCAGAGCCAGATGCCGAGCATGTTCACTCAGAGTTGTGAGGAAGTCCAGATGTTGTGTGGCTGTGTGGGGACAGCCTGTTACAGGTTTGCTGCCTGTGCAGAGGATGTTTATTGGAGAAAAACCATCTATTTTGAGACAGGCTTTTACATTACAGCCCAGGCTGGCCTCAAACTCATGGTAGTTCCTCTGCTTCAGCCTCTCAGTGGTTACATGTACATCACCAAACCTAGTTTTTTCCTTTAACATTCCCCCTCTTATAAGTTCTTAAAGATGATAGCTTATAGAATCCAAGGCAACAGAGAAGAATTTGAAGAATTGAGGGCTCTTTTTAGAAGCAATATGAACTATCCTCTTACAGTAAAGGGTTTTTTTGTTGTTGTTGTTTTTTCCTTTTTTCCCCCTCAATACAGGGTTTCTCTGTGTAGCCCTGTTTCGGAACTGTCTGTAGACCAGGCTGAGCTTGAACTCATATGCACCACCACCGACTGGTTCATAAGTCATTTTTAAGCTGGTTCTTTAGGAAAAGGAATGTTCCACAATGAAAATAGCTGAACCCATGTGTTTGCTATGTGCCTGGTACTGTTTGAAGCAGTGTACCTGAATTATCATACTCAGTACTTGAAGAAGCATTGGTCTTAAATGCTCAAATTTTACCTTTGGAGAAAAGAAAGCAAGTAAAATTTACCCATAGGCATTCAGGAGTGGGTTGACAATTTGAACTGAAATCTGTCAGACTTAAGGTCTTATATGCTGCTCTTTAATGATTTTCAGAACCACTGACAGTAAAGCTGAAGCAGTATAGCTTAAAACTTGTGTTAATCTAAGTGATTAAGATGGTCAGGCACTAAATGCACAAAGTAATTCTGTATTTACAATTCCTTTTTTTTTTTTTGGTTTTTCGAGACAGGGTTTCTCTGTGTAGCTTTGCGCCTTTCCTGGAACCCCAGGCTGGCCTCGAACTCAGAGATCCACCTGCCTCTGCTTCCCGAGTGCTGGGATTAAAGGCATGCGCCACCATCGCCCAGGTACAATTCCTTTTTATAGCAAGTTTTTCAGTAGCAGTGTATCAGAATAGCACTACTAAATAGGGAAGCCAGATGGCTTGCTTTAGTATAAATCAGCTTAGTGAATGGCAGCTAAGCCACGACTGAGTCATAAGCCTTGAGGTTTTCCTTTTCCTTACATTTGTCAAGCCCCATCACATCTTCTATTCATCCTATTTTTACTTCTATTATCGGCCTATTCCTTTACCCTTTATACTGGAATCTATTTAGGGATAGACCAAGGCAGGGCCACCACCTTTTTTTGCACAGGTTGGGCCCAAGTATGGAGACCAAAAGTCCCTCTAAACACATACAGAGCAGTGTATATAGACTACTGATGGCCATGCAGAGAGCTCTGATCATTTTGTCAAACAGGAAGAACCCTAGTTTGCATTCTTCTTCGTGATCTTTTCTTACAGTAACACCATGAATACACCTTGGCACTATGTCCTTTCCTTGTCTCCTTAACCTGTCACCTCTGACTAGCAAGAAAAGGGTTTTTGTTCGGGAGGGGTGTCTTCCAAACTTGTGCTGAGAAATGAACCCAGGTTTCATGCAAAGTACCTAAGTTTGTAGAAAGAGGCTGCTTCCGTGCTCATTTACTACCTGACCTTTCCCCAAGAAAACATTGGGATGAGTTAAGGAGAGATGAGGGCATTACTAATAATTTAACTTGCTTGGGACTAGAGATGGAGCTCAGTGGATAGAGGGTTAGTTTACCGTTTGACCTCAGCACTGTGTAAGTGCAGCTCTATGATACATATCTGTGACCTCAGCAGAGGCATGAAGATCAGTTCAAAGCCAGCATGGGGGAGGTGAAACTATCTGGTTGAAGGAAGTTTATTGCCAGAGAAACTAGCTCTCCAACTACAGTTGCTCTGGCAATGGACTGTTGATGTCTTTTTAAAAGCCAAGGGGCCTAGCATTATACATGTAGCAAAATTAAAAAATACAAATTCCCTTTCAATGTTAAGAATTGGTACCCCATGTTACTATCTCCAGTGTACACTACATTCTTGTCCTTAGCACTGAACCCGCTGCCACGCTTTTACTTTTTCTTCTGTTTTCCCTGGTCTAGCTAGTGTTCATGTACCTAGTATTTTTAGGACATACTCTGCCCTAAGTCACTGTTGTAGTCTGAGGGCCAGAGATCTCATAAGCACATCTATGCAGTTCAGCAATTCTAAGATGGCCTCACTTAGACCAGGCTATCCCCAAAAATAAATTCTGTAGCAGAGGATAATCTTGAACTCCGAATCAGCTGGTATTGCAGTTATTATTACTGTGTTTGGACAGGGTCTATTATGTAGCCCTAGCTGCCCTAGGACTATGTATACCAGAGGCTAGGTTCAAACTCAAAAGATCTGGCTATCTCTGCTTCCCAGCATTTGGGACCACAGGCATGTGCCACTACAGCCAACTCAGCAACTTAAAAATTCTCCATAGCTGTTCTTGCTACTAAGCAACATTCATTTATCTCATTCCTGCTCTTAGCCAACAAGGTTATTCACAATGGGATGGCATCTAAAGACTTGAGATGAAGAACTGCTAAAGAACCCAAGTTTGTGGTCTCTGGAATGCTGGGATTCCAAGTATGAGCCACAGAGGGTTTTGTTTGCCATAAATTAAAACTGTACTTTTGGGAAATTTGTTCCATTATTTTAATAAACTTCAAAGTCGCTTAAAATGTTTTTAGCGTTGAAAGAGCAAAGTGTCTTAATGTCTTCCTGTCACCACAGAAGCCCTACCCCCCTCAGGTAAACCCATACTTCCTAAGTCCCAGGTAATAGGTATTTCAAGTTCCTGAGATCTTCCCCATTTTTCTTAAGATAGCAGTAGCAGGAACATACTAGTTCTGCTATCCTTAAACTCAAGAGAATCTTTTACAGCATACAAACACGTCAAGTGTTGCTTCCCAGGATTTCACATGGCAAATGTAAATAAAAGCACCCCTACATGTTATCCTGATCTCCACACATACCATGGTATGTGCAAAATATTACACTAGGTTTCCTAAATTAACCACTCCAAACTTTTAGCCACGATTTATCTTATACATGGTTGAGAACTTTACCTTTGGCAATGGGTGACAGATACAGTAAGGGGATGCATGCAGATTTTAACTTAGAAAACAACTTATGGACACAGTTTGGGTAGAACCTAGCATTTTATTTAGATCTTCATTAAACTGTTGGAATTGAGAACCAGACATACGTAATAAACCTCCAAAAATAGATCCTGAAAGGCACTTTCTTGCTTAGGGCAAGCAGTCATGGAATAAGCATGTAAACAAGCTGGCTTCTCTGTACCACACCAGCCAAGTCAGCTTTCTCCATGTCCAGCCGCACCAGCTCTGCCCTCCCTTCTGTTAACACCAGCCAGACCCCCTGTAGGTCTAACCCAAGGTTTTTCTGTAGGACACCTTGGCCTACCTGGGAATGCTGGAAACATGTTAAAGGAATCATGGTGTTGAGGAAAAAAAAAAAAAAAAAAAAAAAAAAAACTCTTTTAAAAGCTGCCATCTGAGGTGATGGCTTCTCTGTACTTACGCCATACCCCAGAATACAATAAATAAGCAATTAGAAAATGTTCAAGTATGAAGGGATTTCCTCCTCCCCGCCAAAAGCACTGCTCTCTGAAGGAAGCTGGTTTCTCTGTAGCCACACCAGCTGTTCAGAAAGCTCATTGGACCTGGTTTTGAAAACAAAACAAAGTTAAAACCCTGGGAGGAGCTATTGTGCAGTGTGGAGTACTGTCTTTCTTATAAAGAAAAAAAAGTTACCTGGTACCAAAGTGTGCAACCTACAGACCCTCAGGTACTGCCCCGTGACTTCTCTGTATGACATCACAAGGGGGCCAAGTGCCTGTTCTTCTCGACTAGAAGTTGGTGAGGTTTGGCTAGTGCTGAAACCATGCATAGGATTGGTTTACTAAATAAAACCTTATTACGTACGTCCTCCAAAGACAGCTGAAAAGTGGAGAGATTTTGATTTGGTGCTGTTTAAGAGGTGGCAATTAATAGCATAAGCACCAGGGAGATGGATTAATTGTAACTGCCTTTTTTTCAAGTCAGGCTAGAGCTCCAACTGAAACTTGCGTTTCATGCAAGATTGACTGGATAGGGAACACTCCCTGACAAAGAACTACATAATTAGAAATGACCGAGTTACAGGGAGGATAAGGGAAGGGGCTTCACATCCAATAAATAGAGCTCAAGACATTACAAATTCATGCTGACAGGGCTGTGGCACTGCCAAAGTCTATAGTCAAACTACAAGTACTTTACGTGCACATTACAAGGACATTTTCAGCATCTGGTGGGCAAGTAATTGCAATTAGGACTTTGGAGGATTAGGTGACAGGGCACAAAGGTTCGATTTCAAAGCATTATCCACTACAGTGTTTGTTTCTAGGCAGTTACATGGATCACCTATGCTCACTATATCCATTATAATGTTGAACAAAACACCTAGGGACAGAATAGCAAGCCCCACTTACAGTCCCCACAAAAGCTAAAATTCATGTCATTGATTAGAGTGACTGCAACTCATCAGGAGCTGAAAGAGGACAGAAAACTTTAGGAAGTAGGGCCCTTTCCCTCAGAGCTTGAAGGCTTCTCTGTAGCCTACGCCAACAAGTCTGGGGAAAAAAGGCTAACACTTTCAGTATTTAAGCTTTTTGGGCACTTCCCATGGGAAGCTGTCCCTACCAAAGTGGCCATAGGCTGCAGTCCTCTGATAAATTGGCTTCTTCAGATCCAGATCCCTGGAATATACAAGTCCATAACTTAATATGTAGCATTAAATTAAAACAAAGCAAAACAATCAGCAAGACGCATTCAAGAGCTCTGGCAATGAGTTCAGTTCTCCCTGGGGCTTGCTAGGAAAAAAGTTCAGGGCAGAAGTGTTTGTTACTTCCCTGGTGTCCAAACTCCTTGCACAGTCCTTATTAGTAACTAGAGTTCTTGTTTTCCAGCCCTGGCTTGACAAATAGGAAAACTTATCATTCACAGGAATTCCAATTAAATACTTACCAAGGTCCAAATACTGCCCACTATGGTTATTTTCTTTGTAACTTTGATCATCCCACCTTAGCTTATTAATTCTTAATGTAGCACCCTTAGTTAAGATTAAGCACACAGCTCAGTATTGAAGATGGAGAACTTTTTAGGATGTTACTGAGTCACAGAACACTAACTTTATCAGCTAGGTCCTCTCCAGGCAATTGAAAATGCTGGCATGTTCTAGGAATTCAAAGAGGAGTCCACCTTCATCTCCTCAGATTTTAGTATGTATGCCCATACCCTCCCTATTTCTCACTAGCAACAGGCTTTACCATCTTTACCTGACAATGACCCCAGGGCGAAGATCAAAATTCTTCTTCACAATCTCTAATAGCTCTCTCTCACTCTTCTGAGAAGTGCCATAATGGAAAATGGAGATCGACAATGGATGAGACACTCCAATAGCATAAGAGACCTAAAAGTCAGTGATATAATATGGTTATAAAATAGGGAAGTATATAAACTATTTTACTAAATAAATACCCTTCTCCCATTTCCCTGTTCATTACCTACCTGAACAAGCACCCTCCTGCACAGACCTCCTTTAACAAGGGATTTTGCTACCCAACGAGCAGCATAAGCAGCTGAGCGGTCCACTTTGGTATAATCCTTTCCTGAAAAGGCCCCTCCTCCATGAGCTCCCCAACCGCCATAAGTATCCACAATGATTTTTCGGCCAGTCAAACCAGCATCACCCTGAAATTATAGGATTTAAGTCATGTAATCTTTTCTACTAAGTGGTTCTTGACTAGGCTATTAGGAACCATTCAAGATACATATGTGGCGAGCAGTAGCTCACATGTATAACCCTAGTGCTTGGAAGGCTGAGGCAGGACAAGGTGTTGAAGGCTAGCTGCACACAGCCACATTAACATCAGATACACAGTGAAATTGGGGGTAGCCTGGCCTACATGAGACTGTGTGTGTGTGTGTGTGTGTTAGTGTGTGTGTGTGTTATGTGACCTGGGGGTGGAGTCAGCCACAAACTAAGTAACCAACAATAACCAAAACATCTCATACATTCATTACCTGAGGCCCACCAATAACAAATCTGCCACTTGGCTGTAGGTGGTAAATTGTATCCTCGTCAAGGTATTTTGCAGGTACAACAGCTTTGATCACTTTCTCCTTTAGGGCATCCCTCATCTCATCAAGGCAAACTTCTTCATCATGTTGCACAGATATAACAATTGTATGGACTCTGATAGGAAGCACAGCACCTCGATCTTGCATATACTGCACAGTCACCTTGAATGCAAAATAGACCAGAACACTTGTCTAACCAGCGTTGTTCTCTACTATATGTTTAAATATAGCAAAAAGACATTATTCTCCCCAGTCAGTATAATTAAGTAACTTAAGAATTTTAATGTAATTGAGATGAACGTAGCTTTAAAATAACCACTTACTTGAGTTTTAGAATCTGGGCGTAACCAAGGCAATGTGCCATTGCGGCGCAGTTCTGCCAGTTTGGCATTTAGCTTGTGCGCTAAGACAATGGTTAAAGGCATACACTCCTCAGTTTCATCAGTGGCATACCCGAACATCAAACCCTAAGAAATGGGAAAAGTGAAGTGGGAAAGTGCAATCCAAGCTTCAGGTTTACTGTTAAAAGAGATGCCAACAAACGATCACAATACCTGGTCTCCTGCACCAATGTCTTCCTCATTCCGGTCAAGATGAACACCTTGGGCAATATCTGGTGACTGTTGTTCCAAGGCAACCAACACATTACAAGTCTTGTAGTCAAACCCTACAAACAACAAGGTGTTCCAATCACCCTCATCTTTTCTTTTAGTGTTAAGAGTAGTGCTGTGTTGCTAGCAATTGAGACACTTCTACTTTTTTACAAGAAGGGTAGGTAGCGAGACGGTGGTGGCACATGCACACCATTAATCCCAGCACTTGGGAGGCAGAGGGAAACACATCTCTGAGTTCCAGGACAGCCAGGGCTACACAGAGAAACCCTGTGGGGGTGGGGGGGGAATAAATAAAAGGCTAAGGATCAAGCAGAGAAAAAATATTGATGCAGAGATCTACGATTCACTATTTTAAGAGATCACATTCACACAATTCACTTATTGCCCCCCCTCCCCAACATGGTTTGAAGTAAGGTTTTTAACTTGGCTGGCCTCAAACTAAGCAGCTAACTCCTGCCTGACCTCCAGAAGTTCAATTTACAGGTATATCATCATGTCTGGCCTCTCTATTGACGTGAATCTGTATATTAGTTGTAGGATAAGATACTGCTTTTGCACGCAATGTCACACTTTTTAGAGGACAGAATAGGCTGGATCAGAAAGCTGAGAAGATATGGTAAAACTGCAATCAGTTAAGGATTACTAGCAACATTCTAGAAGCTTCTCCTGCCAGCATCAGATTCCATGCCTGCAAAAAATGAGTTTACAGAAAATTAAATATTTAGAACATACCTTTGGAAGAATCATCATATCCAATGTGCTTAATGGCTTCACGAACTACTTTCTGGTAATCAATGGCAGCTCTGGATGTAATTTCCCCAGCAAGAAGGATCATTCCAGTTTTAGCAACGGTTTCTAATAAAACAGAAATTTATACCTAAAATATTAGTGGTGGGGGAAGTTGAAGAATTCAATCCATTTTGTATAT